TAGATAGTTTAGTCTCGTATCAAGGAGCATTTGAATATGTGATGGAGCTCTTCATGTAAATTGCCCCCCATGGAAGTTGAAAAGAATATGGAAGACCGATTTTGTTTCTCATCCATTCGGTTGAAGACTTCATGGCTTGATGAGACATCATCCTTAGTCGCCCCCTTGTACAATTTCTTCAAAGAGGTTTTCATGCATATTCAAAAAATTTCAAACTTGATTTGAAGAGAAGAGATGAGAGGTAGAAATGGTCCCACCGGGCGTGCCAGATTTGTAACAACAAATTTTATGGAAAACATAAAACTTTCTGTACAACTTGATTTAATCGAACAAAAGATATTGCAGGTACAATCTTTTTCCTTATCCTAAGATTTGACTTGGTGGGCAAGAAATAATAACTTTTATTAATTAAATATCTTATTTATCATGGGTTTCTGTTCCAAAATAAAAAAAAAGACATTAAATAATAAAATATTAAAATTTCGATGTCTACAAGAAATTTTAGGTATCGTACGATAAAATTAAACATGTCATTGGATAGATCGATTCGAAAACTTTAAAATAACGTAAAATTCACTACTCATAGACTAACGAGGAACAATGAGTAATAGGTGGTGGCCAGTAGCGGCGAGATGGTCGAATGTTCAATTTTAATACGTTTTCAATTATAACCCTATTTTTTTAGTTATTTTTATTATATACATGAGTTATAAATTAAATACAATAAAAGTTTTTTTTAATGAAACTGTTGACATTAGAACATCAACATCAATTAGAGGGGCGGACTTATAGGGTATTAATGCGATTAGGGATAACTTAATAACCGTTGATGGGGATATCAAATTTGTTTTCATAATGTAAGTAGGAATCTATATATGCATAATTTGGAGCAACAAAGCATTAAATTATATTACCTAGCATTTAATTATATTATCCCTTCAAAATTTGAGCATTCAATTTTATTATCCCTCTAAAATTTTCAGCATTAAATTATATTATCCCTCCAAAATTTTCAGCATTTAATCATATATCTTATTATATTGAAACGGTTATCTTCTATTTTTGAATTAAATTACAACCTCAAATCATGCACTTTATTTGAATTATTGGACATAAACCGTGTAAGCATTGATATATAATCATTTTAGTTGCAAATAATCAAAAAATAAATCAAATTACAAAATTACATATTTAAATTGAAATAAATGTCAATCTCCAATCTGCTGTTGCTATTGTACTTGCAAACTAACAGTAAATAATTTAACACAAGAAATATTAGCTATTATTATTAAATGTCATACTATCACTTTAAATAACTATTATTACAAAATGTGATATCATTAAACAAAAGCAACAAATAACAAAAAATTTGAAAGAAAAACACCCTCATTTGTAATATACATCACACTACAATAACATCATGCTATAATCATACAATTAATTTTATATACATGTGGGTGGAGAAATCATGTCATTATATATATTTAATTTATTTTCTTTCTTTTAACGTCTTAAATAATGAATAAAAAAACGTGTGAATTAATTCTTCATAATCTAATTTACTTTATTCCTAAAGCTGAATATAATTCCTTTTTGTTTTTAATTTTTTTTTGCAAAAACACATAGTACTCTTAAAAATTTAAAATCTACTATCAAACATCTCTGAATGCTGTATTCAAAACCTGCTATCAAACACGTAATCATGGTGTCCTTTGCTATGACGATCAACAAGAGTCAAGATCAGTCTCTCTCACACGTCGATTTAGTCTTGAAGAACCCTGTTTTTAGTCATGAACAGTTGTACGTGGCTCTTTCTAGAGTCACAAATCGGAAGAGTTTGAAGGTAATGATATGTGGTGATGGTGATTCCAACGATAGGAAACCTTGAATGTTGTATGCAAAGAAGTGTTTAATAATATTTAGAATCATTTTCATAATTCATATTTTTTTTAATTAAATCATGATTTTGTATTTTTTTTAATATTCGTAACTCTTCTAATTATTCTATCCGTGCAAATGCACGGGTTGATTACTAGTTTGGTATCAAATGGGAGAAATAAGCTAAGAAACAAGACTGTCAATCATTTATTAAGAAGATTGGCATAAGAGAGTATGTAACATCATTGTATCACGGTTTTGCTATGGAGTCATCAGACGAATCGACTTATGGAGCCATCCATATTTATTCAATAATGATGTATTGATACGTATCTTGCAATATTACACATGTTCTCATGCAAAGTCTCGACCTTCGATGATGGAACCAGTTGGGCGGTCGTTTTACCAATTTGCTTTATTGATTTCTTGTTCATAGTTCAGAGAGATCAACAAAGGCTATTGTATTGTGCTCTATAATGGATCGACGCCCAAACTTGATGAGTGATCGGCGCATAATAGGTTGTGCGGGTTTTTGGGCTTTTTTTTTTTTTACTTTCCGAAATTGATGCAGACCCAATTTCCTTCGGTAATGATATACCTGTTTTCTTTATACTACCAAACATTTTATGTACAAAACGTTTATTTCTATTATTTTTATGTATATTGATATGACAATAATACTATATATATAATTTTAAAAGTTTTAACAATAGAACTAGTGGCCCAAAGCCTACCCGGGTCAATTCCTAGGCCGGTTTAAAAAATTATGCATTTATATGTTAATTTATAAGATAATTTACATGTTTGTTGGTTACTTTTCAATTTGAATTCATAGATAAAATTACCCGTTTTAGGGTTGATAGCAAGCATTTTCTGTGCAATAGCATGCCACCATAGGAAATTACATTATAAACACAATGCTTCTTCACTCATTTGGATCTCTAGAGCACGATGGCCTCACCATTACCTAGGGATGAAAACAAAAATGGTAATTTCCGATTACCGGGAATCGTTTTCGAAATTTTTCGGATTTGGAGGCTAAACGGAAACGGAAACGGTAGCCGGAAAAACGGAAATGGAAACGTAAAAAAATTCGAAAATGAAAACGAAAACGGTTTAGCCCTTTTCCGATCGTTTTCGAAAATTACCATATTTAAACGGTATTTTACCGTCGGTAATACCGGCCCAACCCATACTAGGCTCACTTTTAATAATAAAGCCCAATCCAAATCCCAAATGGGCCAAATGCCCAAATCCCCTTCAGCCCAACCCTTCTACAGTGCCCAAATCCTGAAATCCCCTTCATCCCTTTCGGTCTTCACTCTCGAGTCTCGTTTGGGAGTCTGTCGTCTCTCCCATCTGCTCGTCGCCACTCCCGTCACTTGCTCGTCGCCACCGCGCCCCACTCCCATCACCGTCGCAACCGCATCTACAGTGCCCAAATCCCCTTCATCCCGTTCGGTCTTCACTCTCGAGTCTCGTCTGGGAGTCTGTCATCTCTTCCATCGGTCGATGGCCATTGCAATTCGCCGCGCCTGCTCGTTGTCACTCCCGTCACCTGCTCGTCGCCGCCGCGCCCCACTCCCATCAACGTCGTAACCGCACCACCCGCTACAGGCTCCAGCTGCCGCCGCCTACCCCACTTTGAATTCACGCCAATAGTTATGGAGCCACCAGAAAAACCTGGACATCCTGGTCTTGTCACCGTAGCTCAGAAATTGGCGAAAGACTCTGGTAAGCTTCGTTTGATTTGTGTTCTGTAGGGCTACGATTTTGGTGAATCTGTTTGCGCGAATTTGATGCAAATTTTGGGACAACATTACAACAATGAAAATTTGATGCAAATCTGTTTGTGAATCTGTTTCTTTATAAAATCATTGAGTTTCCAGAGAGACAACAATGGCTTTAGGAATTGCTGCGATGTATGAATAGGGGCTTAACTAGATTATCGTGTTAACTTAAGTGAAAAAGCATATGCAAATTTTATCGTGTTATCAACAATCGTTTCTGTTAATATATTTTTTATAAATTTATAATGTTATATTTATCACAATTGATGAATTGAATAAGGCTATGATTGGTTCAGTGAAGGAAAATGGACAGGATACAACAGGGCAGGCGAGAGGGGGGGGATTTTTTAAGTGAATTCATGTCTCTCATTGTTGTCTTTAGGAAAATATGTGAAGAATCAGCACAATAATTTAGATTTATGAAGCAGAAGCAGAACATAAGCTATTAAAAATTTAAGGTTCTAAGAAAAATATTAACTTGTGCTATTTAGTATTGTACATTGTTTCTGAGTTTATTTCTTTTAATTTGGGAGTTCTTTTGCAATTTAGTTCTTTCTTTAATATTTTGATTGTTATTTGATAGGTACTCGTAACAAAATAATGTTGCCTTCAAGTGTCGCAAATCAAAGTTATAGTGTGTCTGCTTCCTTGCCAGCACCTGCTTCAACATCGATACCTTCATCTAAGGGAAGTTTAGTGCCAAGTGAAGCAGCCGATGGTGGTGGCACACAGGAGAGTCATGATGCCATCAATGTGGACAGTGATGTTGAGGAACAACCTGTTACCAAGAAGGCAAAGAAAACCACATCTGAAGTGTGGCAATACTTCACCAAGTACTGGGTGACAGTGGAGGTAAATGGCAAGCAAGAACAACAATGTTGGGCAAAGTGCAATTTCAAAGGGTGTAAAAACAAGACTAGCAAGCATAGAGCTGAGAGCAATTTTGGAACAACTGCTTTTTGGACACATCTTGCTAACTACCACAGTATAAAGAAAGGACAGCAGCAGCTCACAACAAAAAATAATAATGAGACAGGCATTGTAACAGTCCAACCCTATAAATATGATCAAGAAGCTAGCTTGAGGAAGTTCTATGAGGCAATGATTGTTCATGAGTATCCTTTCAACATGGTTGAGCATGAGTTTTTTCAAGAATGGGTCAAATCCATGCGTCCAAATTATCCTCTCAAGTCTCATGTCACTGTTAGAAAGGAAATCATAGAGTATTATTCGACTGAAAGAGATAAGTTGTATGAATACTTCAAAACCATTCAAAGCCGGTTTAGTGCAACGATGGATATGTGGACATCTAACCAGAATAAGGGTTATATGTGTATCACCCTTTATTGGGTTGATGATGATTGGAAAATTCAGAAGAGGATTATTAATTTCCTCCATGTTGAAGGGCGACACACCGGTGAGAGGTTGTCTTATACGGTTAGTTCTTGCCTTTTAAAATGGTATGTTGAGAAAAAGATGTTCTCTTTGACTTTGGATAATGCTTCTGCAAATGAGGTTGCTGTTAAGGATCTAATTATAGAGCTCAAGAAGCATAGAAATTTAGTGTCTGATGGGCTATTTTTTCATGTGAGATGTGCTAATCACATCATGAATTTGGTTGTTAGAGATGGTATGCGTGTGATTTCTGATGCAACTGAAAAGATTAGGACATTTGTACTTGCTGTTAAGGGGTCTACAATATAGTGGGAGGAGTTCCAAAAGTGTGCTGTTGAATGTGGGTTAGACACAAAGCCTTCTCTGTCACTTGATGTTTCTACAAGGTGGAATTCAACATATCTAATGTTGAGGGATGCTCTATATTATAAGACTACTTTTGCGAGGCTGACTTCCATTGACCGCCACATGTATAGTAGTATTGCTCATTCATATCATGAATGGGATAAGGCACAAATTTTGATTCCCTTCTTGTAAAAATTCTTTGAGCTTACTGAGATAATCTCTGGTACTACCTATCCAACGGCGAACCTATTTTTTAGAGGCTATTGTGAGATTAAGATATTGCTAGCTGATTGGTGCATTAGTAAGGATACCACTATTTGTGGAATGGCAAATGCTATGAGTGTCAAGTTTGATAAGTACTGGAAGAAGTCTAATATTGCACTTGCTGTAGCAAATGTTCTTGATCCTAGGTTCAAGAGAAGAATTGTGGAATTTTACTTGGGAAAGTTCTATAATAATTCCTACCAAGCTGAACTTGAAAAATTCAATGGTATCCTAAGGAAGATGCTTCAATGCTATGTTTCTGTTGCACCTTCTTCTTCAAAGAGCAATAAAGAAGTTGAAGAACCATTGGCAGATCTATTTATGGGCAGCAACAACATAGATGATGAGCTTGATAACTACCTATTTGAAAGTGACTCATATGATGCTGATGGAGAGTTCAGTGAATTGGAAAGGTACTTAGCAGAACCACCATTGAAGACCACTAAAGCCAACCAGAACATGTTTGACATTTTAGCATGGTGGAAATCTCATAAGGAAGAGTATCATGTCTTGTCCCTACTTACTCGTGATGTGTTGGCAATTCAAGTTTCAACCGTTGCATCTGAATCTGCATTTAGTGTTGGTGGTCGTGTCATTGATCCATATCGCTGCCGCCTTGATCCTGATATGGTACAAGCTCTTGTTTGCACTAAGGACTGGATAATAGCTACTAGAAAAGGTAAAATTTCAAATTGATTGTTGGTTTTAGATTACAAAGAGTTAAATTCACTAAGCACTTGGTTTTAAATTTTTTATTTTCAGGTTCTAAGAATGTTTCTTCGCTGCCTGGTGACCTTGATGTTCTTGAAGCCATTAAGAATAATCTAATGTTTGAGGTTCCTTCTTTCTTTCTTGAGTTGCAATATTAATAATTTCAAATATGTTGTCAATAATAATAGAATATGCTGACAGATTTCAGTGTTGTTTCAATATTTCACAAGAATGAAGAGTCAAGTAAATATGTTGCACGCAAGGAAAAATGAAGATATGAGTTAGAGAAATTATAATTTGAATTTATTTTACAATTTATAAATATTGCATCATCTCTTTTCATATAGTTCTAGTGTGAAGATAATGATTTCAATTCTTTTCAGGCCTTTTTATTATTCTTTTCGTGGAATATTTGTATGAGTGTTAAAATATTTTTCCATTACAAATTGTAGGATGAATTCTTAGAAATGGGACGTGATGACGATGTGGCAATTGATAATGATGATTTGCCTGAGATTCAGTTGTAGGCAGACGACAACTTGCTGTGAAGGACAAGTTTATATATTATGTTTAACTCCCATCATTGTTTTAGTGATTTGTGTTTTGAATTATGGGTTTCGTTTGTTGTGGTTTTTTTGTGGATTTGGTGGTTCCATGGTTGATTTCTCACCTAATTGCTCCCATTTCATGTTTCAAATTTCAATTGCTACTATTATTCCATGAGAATTTGGTGGACAAGTCACAATTCAATTGCTAGTTATTGGAATTTGTATGGATTTTGTTATAGCAAATGGTGTGGATTTTATTTGGATTTTGCTACTATTATGCCATGAGAATATTTCAATTAATGTTTTAATGCTATATTTTATAATGTGGTGTGTTTATCGTTATTTAAATACCGTTTTAATATATTTCGATCGTTATCGATGTATTTTCGATCGGATAGTTTCATTTCGATATTACCAAAATACCGATGTCGTTTTCGTTTCCGACATTATCGTATCATTTTCGTTTTCGAGAAAAAAATATAAAAGTGGAAATGGTTGAGCCCTATGCCGATCGTTTTCGATCGTTTTCATCCCTACCATTACCTCCTTTAAAATAAAAATGTATTTTTAAAACCATAATTAAATTAAAAAAATAAACCTGAACGGTAATGGTACAAAATAAATAAAAACTGAATAGACAAATAGACACCTAGAAACCATATATAGAACAAAGATCTATGATCCCGTTACGGAACCATTTTGTTGGGGTTTGTAATCATTAGATCAACTATCTCTGACGGTTACATGATGATCTAACGGTTATAAACCCCGACGGAATGGTTATGTAATGAGAACTTAGAATTTCCCTAGAACAATATGTATAAAGCGCTAAAAAGGGAAAAAAAACTTTTACCCATCTGACCTATCACGGTTTTGGCGCATTACCATATAAACTTTTTTTTTTACAAACCACCATCTGAACTATGTGGGTTTGTCATTTTGCCATCTGAAACTAGAATTTAAGTTGTTTTTGTCTAAAAACAGCGGTTTCATAAGGGCCTTTTAGGATTTTCAAATTTTTTGAAAAAATAATAAATAATTTAAAAAAATAGGAATATACCCACGCCCTCATGCATGTACTGTCCACGTCCTTCAATTCTCCATCCTTTGTAACTATATCCAACGATTTTGCCACGCTCCCATGTACCGTGCCTCTGTCGATCTCGTCAAAACGACGGGGCCCGCTCGTCATCCCCGACGATGCCCGCCACGGAGCCCACAACCAGCCCAACGAGCTTGACGTGCAGATCGAAGCACGTCTTGATGTTCGCGCAGCTCTCTTCGCACGCATCTGTTGCTGCCGCGAATGAGAGGCGACAATGGAGGCCGGCGGCGGCTCCGTGGTGTGGCCGAGCATGTCTCCGACAGCCATGAAAAAGGCAAAGAGCCCTCTCCCGCGCATAGATGAATGTTCCGTTGAGCATAGATTTACATGGATGGATGCATATTATCGGACCTGTCCGATGAAAGCGAAGGTGACCTGAGCCATGTCTTTTTCCCCTTTTTTTGTACAAAGCTTGTTTCCATTGTCTGCCAACTCTCTTTGCATTGGACATGTTAGAGACCACACGACTAGTACAATGCAAACACAGAATGTGCGATTGTTTAAGCTTAAATTATACATTCTGTAAGTGCTTCATCCAAGTCTTAATAAACCCTTCTTGCTTTTTTCTTTTTTTTTTTCTCCAATTTTAGACTGAAAGGGATTACCATGAGACAGTTAGCAAGCAACTTGTGGGCCTAACTCTCGAGCTGAAGTATATATCACTTATTGTATATTTATTAGTTTTTTTATTTGTTCTCTATTTTACGTACATTTGACCAATAACATAAGAAAAAGGAAAAATCATGTTTCAATTACAGGAAACTGATGGGAGAAGAGCTTTGAGCACTCGGCTTAAATTATACATTATGTAAATGATTAATTTAAGTCTTAATTGTAAACTTCATCAAGGATCTTGAATAAATAATTTGGTGTATACGAAATACTTACTTGATGCGGAAGACGACATAATTAGTGATCTTGATCTTGATGATCACGAGAGGCTTGATCGATTGTTAGGATTAAATTAGTTTCTCCCTCATGTCCAATCTTAACGTAGCAGAAAAGTGATGGGATTATGACTGCGTACCCTAATAGGAGGAGAGAGGACTAATTTATATAGGGGTGTCATTAAATCTGGTACGTCCATCAACTATCCAGATTAATGGCTTAGATTTGTTTGACTATTAAATAAGGTCTGGCCCAATAGGATAATTAAATGTGAGCCCAATGCTTTCGGGCCACATATTCTTACATTCTCCCACTTGGTCCGAAAGCCCATAATTTAATAGTATAACATTAGGTGCACATAAACAAATCTCATTATGCCATACATCATAATAAACTATGATATGATAAACCATATAGTGCGAGTTATGGCGGTTGTACACTCTCGATTCGCATACTTCCTTCCATATACTACTACACTAATAGTTCAACACATCAAGTTCCATAATTATATATAAATATCATAATGTCCACTTAATTGTCATGAAGACATTCATTTCTTGTTCTATACATAATGTATACAAATCATAATGAACAAGAAATTCGATAATAATCAGAAACATAACATCAATGAGCTCAAGAGTGTGCTATAACATCATCATAACCAATCATCAATACAACCAAGACCCACTCTATGTACATGTTCTTTAAATGTCTTTGGTTGTAGACCTTTAGTTAACGGATCGGCAATCATAAGGTCCGTTCTTATATGTTCAATGCACACTCTTTGTTTCTGAACTTCCTCCTTAACGGCAAAGTACTTTAATTCCAAGTGTTTTGCACCCTTGGAATATTTGTCGTTTTTTGAGAAGAAAACTGCTGCGGAATTATCACAATACAATTTCAGCAGCTTGGTAATGGTGTCGACAACCCCAAGTCCCGAAATAAAGTTCCGCAGTCATAATGCATGAATTGTAGCCTCAAAACAAGCCACAAATTCAGCCTCCATAGTAGATGCAGCTATGACAGACTGCTTGGCACTTTTCCATGAAATTGCTCCTTCGGCAAGGAGAAAAACATAGCCAAACGTTGACTTGCGACTGTCAAGGCACCCAGCAAAATCTGAATCTGAATATCCAATCACCTCAAGGCGATCAGATTTCCTAAATGTGAGCATATGATCCTTCGTCCCTTGAAGGTATCTCATCACTTTCTTTGCAGCTTTCCAGTGATCCAATCCCGGATTACTTTGATATCGGCCAAGCATCCCAACAGCGAAGCTAATATCAAGCCTCGTGCAAGTTTGCAAGTACATCAGACTGCCCACAACAGAAGCATATGGAATTGATTCCATACTCTTTCGTTCCACATCATTCTTAGGGCATTGCATAAGACTAAACTTGTCCCCTTTCTGTAATGGGACAACACTTGGTGAACAAGTGTTCATACTA